GACATACTCTCCACATTCAGTGGTGATTTTTAAAATTGAAATGGAATGGAATGAAAAAGGAAGATGACAGAAGGGAATGTCACTAGAATGTAATGAAAAGCAAAATATGAATGTATTTGCAGACAAATCTGTATCAGATGTCATTTTTAAACTGTCAAAACAGAACTGTCATTTTTTTTTAACTTTAATTTTTTTTGCCACTGTCATAAAATGGCTGTAATTTTTAACTGTCAAAAATAAATTGGCAAAAAAAATGATAGGTTATTTTTGACAGTAGCAAAAAAATCGGTTAGTTAATTTTTTTGACAGTGCCAAAAACTAACTGTAATTTTTCAATTGTAATTTTTGGCCACTGTCACAAATTAACTGTCATTTTTGGCCATTTAAAAAAATTAACTGTAATTTTTCATCTGTCATAAAATAACTGTCATTTTTAACTGGCAAAAAAGTAAAATTTTGACAGTGCCAAAAATGAACTGTAATTTTTCAATTGTCATTTTTGGCCACTGTCAGGAATTAACTGTTATAAAATAGCTGTCATTTTTAACTGGCAAAAAATGACAGTTAATTTTTGACAGTGGAAAAAAAACTGAGTTAATTTTTGACAGTGGCAAACATTAACTGTAATTTTTCCACTGTCAAAAATGAACTGTAATTTTTTGCCACTGTCAAAAATCAACTGTCATTTTTAAATGATAAAAATTAACTGGCAAAAAAGAGTTAATTTTTGACAGTTAAAAATGATTTTTTTCAACTGTCATTTTCAATTGTCATTTTTCAACTGTCATTTTTTGCCACTGTCAAAAAATAACTATCATTTTTCAACTGTCATAAAATAGCTGTCATTTTTAACTGTCAAAAAAATAACTGGCAAAAAATTACAGGTCATTTTTGGCACTGGCAAAAAATGACAGTTATTTTTTGACACTTGAAAAATGACATTTGAAAAAAAAAACTCATTTTTCAGCTGTCACAAATAGCTGTCTTTTTTAACTGTCAAAACTTTCATATTTTTGCCAGTTAAAAATGAGAGCTATTTTATGACAATTGAAAAATGACAGTTAATTTCTGACAGTGTTGAAAAATGACAGTTATTTTTTGACTGGCAAAAAAGGATGCTATTGTTTTACATTTTTCAACTCAAAAATAGCTGTCATTTTTTTAACTGTCATTTTTCAACTGTTATAAAATAGCTGTCATTTTTAAACTCATAATTATCTGGCAAAAAATGAGAGTTAATTTTTGACAGTGGGAAAAAATACCAGGTGGAAAATGACAATTGAAAAAAATTGTCAGTTTTCAACAGTCAAAAACAGCTGTCATTTGTTGCCACTGTCTAAAATTAACTTTTTTTGCCAGTTAAAAATAACAGCTGTTTTATGACAGTTAAAAAATGACAGTGGCAAAAAATGACAGTTACTGTTTGACTGTGGCAACAAATGACAGCTGTTTTTGACTGTTGAAAACTGACAATTTTTTTCAATTGTCATTTTCCACCTGGTATTTTTTCCCACTGTCAAAAATTAACTCATTTTTTGCCAGATAATTATGAGTTTAAAAATGACAGCTATTTTATAACGGTTGAAAAATGACAGTTAATGTTTGACTGTGGCACTAGATCCCACTAGATATATTGGCTCCAACTACTCCAAGACGAGTTCATTAGTAGTAGTATTATGCATATAATGAAAAATTAGTCCACATAGTAAAATCCACAAAGTGAGTCTTTCCAGCATCCAAGATGTCTGCCGGCCAGTCGTCATGCGTTGTATCACAGATGACATCATCAGGGGCACCACTGACATCATCTGTGACAAAACACGTCATGGATGCTGAAAAGGCCTGCTTTGGAATTTGTACGTGTTGACTTGTGCCTTTTATCATGTGAGTCCAACTTTACTTGGATAAATTTATCTTTGATGGTTTTAAACTAAGTGGAGTAATTTTTCATTACATGCATAATACTATGAGCTCCGATTTTAATAAACTCTTCTTGGAGTGGTTGGAGCCAATATATCTAGTGAGATCGTTCTGGTGAGGATTATTGGTCGTCACCTTGGGTGGCCTGTGGAGGAGTATAATCATCCATTATCCTTGATGTCACCAACAATATCTTATAGAGCACAGATTGACCACTCTTAGCAAGGGGTCACAAACCTTCTGGTAAGCTTTACATGGGAGTGGATGGTGTCACATTGGCTATCCTTGGAAGTCTTCTGATCTCATCACAGCATGTGGGGACTGATCTAATCTGATTTCACCATACGATTATTTAGTTTACAAACACTTTGTGTTTATATTTCTTTCACATATTATTCACACAACCATGATTTCTGTATGTAATGTATTTTGAGCTCTTATGTATGAGGTATCAAGGTATAGTGTCCAGCTGCTGTATATTGGTGTTTGTTTTCTCTGAGCACAGATTTTGGGTTATGTTAAGGCATTGTCAGGTTTTGACAGGTGATTGAGGAGCATTAAAAATGCATCTCAACCCCAAGTGAAAGGGACTTTAAAACCCAAATCTTTGAAAAGTAAAAACCCTCCCAGGCTGTGGGGCTGTGGCCGCAAATTTTTAGAAGTTTTACTTCTCCAATCTTCCACTCTCCCAGCAGACAGTGCTCTGGCAGTGATCCCTGCAGCAGTCTTGATGACATCAGAGGGCACTTGGCTGACAAAGTTTAGGGAAAAAGACTGAGGACTAGTCTAGCAGTGCAGAGGAGCCTGCTGGAGTAGTTGAGAATCAGGTAAGAAAAATTGTCCAATAAACAGAAATGAGCATTTAAATCTTGCAGTGGGTATGAAGCCCAACCACAAGAGAGAATTTCTACTTTTCCTGGAGTTGTTTTATAATGTATCCCTGCTCCAAAATGTCAGGTTTTTTGTTTACTTTTGTATAGAGTATTGTGAGGTTCTGACCTGTAGAAAAGTTAGAATGGGATGAAGTCTCCATTCATAGGTCCACATCTTAGACATTAGTTCGGCTTCCATAATGGAGCAGCTATGCACTGCTTTTATTTGGATGCCAACTTAGGCTCAAGCCTCCACCCTCCCCAGGAGACTATGGTACCTTGAGAGAGCAGGAAGTGTGTGGATCTTTGTACTGACCAGACTGATGCTTGTGCATTTGGGTCAGAAGAGAAACCGAGGGTCTGCAAAAACCCAAATAGCAAGGAGGATACAAGAGATTATTTTGTGTGATAGTGGAACCCCCCTGTGCATGAAACCCTGATTTAAAGGAACATTTATTTTTCATAAACATGAGCAAAAAGCTTTTAAAAATGTGGTAACTGGACTAAGTCCTTGAAGGTTCTACACTTTTGAACTGAACCCTCACTGTATTAAATGCTTCAGACCTTTATCATCTGCCAGTTTAAACTGAGAGATTGATCTTCACTTCTTATCCTGACAGCATCGCAGGTAGAAAAAAAAATAATCTATGGTCCAGGACATCTTTTTTTTTCTTAACATTGTCACTGCAGCAGGTATCCTTATTTAAAGATTTCTCTTTACCCTCGGTTACAGTGACAGCCACACAATGTTAGACTTCCCCTCTCTTTTTGTACCAGTGACAATGGCTTCAGGACAGAAACAGAGGGTGAATCTTCCCAGCAGGGGCATTTCCCTCCAAAAGTTAAAACAAAAAGAACCTTTATTGTAAATACACAAAGTCTACACCCACAAGCCCTTAGAAATGCATTTTGACACATTAACAAACATGTATTAATGTGCATTATGTCACAAATGAACATTTGTTGTGTGAAGGTTGTCCCACTCATTTTTAATTACCTTAATTTTTTTTTTTTTTTTTAGCACAGCATTGCAGTGTGCTGCACTCTGGGCAAATTGCCCTCTACTGTTTTAGTATGTTGAGGTGCTATTCAGAATCCATTTTTTACTACATACTCAAAGCCTTTTGGATTATTTTCCCAATTAGTGTATTACAAAAGAAAAAGAAAAGAAAAAAAAAAAAAAAGGACACCAAACAGACAAGAATAAGATGATTTTCAGCTTACATATTTATTACTAAATGTTGTGATATTTAGTGCAATTAATTTCCTTCTACAGTATCAAACACCCAAACAGCACTGAGCAGTCGCCCATGGCAACCAGTTCAAATTCACTTTATAGCAGCTTAATGCAAGCAGTTATGGCTTACCATACACCAGTTGTTTCAGAATGTGACAAAAGGTGCCTCACATCTAGAACATTTAAACCCTGTTCACATATGTCACCTGAGCATGGAACTGCATCCTGTTCACACTACAAGACAGCCAAGAGGTGTAGTGTGGCAGACCTGCTACATTTTATCACAGCGTACAGGAAGGATCACAGGTCATTTGTACAGCAGCACAATGCGATATACCAAGCTGATGTGCAGTGACATGAATCAAATGTCACTTCAAAATAAAGCTGACAAAATAAAGCTGACCGGATCGCATGGTACTGCAGTACCATGCCATTCAATGCAGGCAAACGCACTGCATTTTCAATCTGCATTTGGGATGTTGTTAGGATTATATTGACACTCACAGCAGATTGCTCACCTAGATAGTTTTGAACACCGTACTGGAAACAGGCACGGAACACAGGTTTCCCACACCATGTTCCAGTGTCAACAAGCCCTAAGTGCAGGAATGTTACTGTAGCTCAAATGTTATGTATCATTTCTCCGGGAAACAGCACGAATTGTATAGATTTCCAAAGTACCATCTTATTGAAGACTTTTATTTACAGTTTAATACTTCTTTATTGTTGAAGTTAAACCTTAAAGAGGAAATCCAGGTATTACGGGCCTCCTGTGGTCAGAATGCAGCAGGGCAGCCACTTGGCGCAGGGCTTGAAAGCAAGTGGAGATCACTAAATTAACTGTGACTACTTCAGTGATTTTCAGCTTTCAGGAGTATCAACCAGGTATGGTATGGTTTATGCAGAGTTATATTGATCCAAACTGGACTTTACCTATGAATGGCTACATGTTACTTAAACGGTTTGAATTATTAAAAGTCAATGCATCGACCCTTTCTCTCCCAGTCTCCATAGCGAGTAGGTTCTGGTCCTCTGGGCCCACCTTTCTCCTTAGTAATAGGATTTATATCATCAGGGAATCCTAAAGACAGCAGCAAGAAAAAAAGAAAAAGGGCATAAGGTAATGGTCTACATTTCCTCTTTAAATCACAAGCATTATCAGATGTTAATGATTTCAAATAAATATTGAAGTCAAATATCTATGCACATTTTTTCTCAATGGAGGAATCAGCAGCAGGTTAGCCAACCATAAGCAGGCAGATAGCCATTATATTTTTTATTAACCACTTGAGCTCCAGAGGATTTACCCCCCCTTAATGATCAGGCCTCTTTTTGCTACTCGGCGCCCTGCACTAATTCATCTGATAATTGCGCGGTCATGCAATGCTGCACCCAAACAAAATTTATGTCCTTTTTTCACACAAATAGAGCTTTCTTTCGGTGTAATTTGATCACCTGTGCGCTTTTTATTTTTCACGCTATAAACAAAAAAAAAAGGCCAAAAATTTTGAAGAAAAACAATATTTTTTATTTTCAGCTATAAAAAAATATATAGTAAAGCTATAAAAAAAAATATATAGTAAACTCAAAGTTAGTTATAAATTTAGGCCAAAATGTATTCTGCTCCATGTTTTTGGTAAAAAAAAATCCCAATAAGTGTATATTGATTGCTTTGTGTGAAAGTTATAGCGTCTACAAACTATTGTATAAATACTGCAATTTACGCCATTTTTCTGCTATACAGCGCTGCACTAGTTTAACGGACAATTGCGCGGTCATGCAATATGGTACATAAATGAAATTTCCATCCTTTTTTCCCCCCACAAATTGAGCTTTCTTTCTTGGTATTTGATTGCCTGTGCGGTTTTTATTTTTTGCGCTATAAAAAAAAAAAAAAGGCTGACAATTTTGAGGAAAAAAAAAAACAATATTTTGGACTTTTTGCTATAAAACATGTCCAGTAAAAAAAAAAAATGCAAAAATCAAATTTAGTCATAAATTTCTGCCAAAATGCATTCTGCAACATGTCTTTGCTAAAAAAAAACCCAATACGTGTAAATTAATTGGTTTACGTGAAAGTTATAGCGTTTACAAATGGCGGGAAAGATACTGGGATTTTTAGGGGATTTTTTATACTAATAATGGCGGCAATCAGCTAATTATGACGGCGATCAGGGACTTATGGCAGCGACCAGCGACTTATGGCAGGACTGCAACGGACATTTTGACATTGGGGGGTACTGACTTGGGGTCACCGACATCCCCAAAAATACTAGTACAGTGATCAGTGCAAAAAAAAAAAAAAAAAAAAAAAAAACTGGCACTGTACTAATGGCAATTGGGAGGAAGGGGTTAACTTTATTTTGCAGGGAAGGGTTATAGGTGTGAGGGGAGTGTTTTACTAGGGGGCGGGGATGTGTACTGGACAGGACAAGGCTGATCGAGAAAGAGAAACTGTTCTCTCGATCAGCTCATCCTCGAGCTGACAGGGAAGTGACAGACAGCACAGCTACTGCAGCTGTGCTGTCTGTCACTGTTTGCCGCCGATCGCCGGGACATAGCCGCTAAGGAGCGGCTGTGACTCGGCGACTGACATCTGCGGCGGTGATCCGCGGGACAAATAGGGCGGCGGCGCACCTCACACACGCCCCCTATTTGTTTACAAAACACACGTCTTAAATCGTGGTTTTGCCTGTGAGTGCCGCCCTGCCACCGTATATGTACAGTGGGTGGGCGGCATGCGGTTAAGGATGGTGTTTGGGGCCTTCTACATGCCTAAAGTAAACCTGTCTGTCTATGCATGGAAAAGCAACAGAGTTCCTTAAACAGTCACTCCCCAGTCTCATATACTCGCCTTCACTTTGCACAATTTTACTTAGAGGTCTGAACCTAATAAATAAAAATATTAAAGATAGCTACACACCTGGACAATTCAAACTGAGAATATGATAAATACATAAGCAGAGGTCACCCATTTCAATATGAATTTCACGCACAGTATATTTTTTACGTAGATAAATTGGTCCAGCTTGGACAAATGTAACTGATGTGTATACCATGCCTAGCCGATGCAGCTGGAAACTAGGAATCACTGAATTAGACATGGGTATTCCAGTGATCTCCACTCACTTCCCATTTCCGTACTCAGCAGTCAGCCTGATGCATTGCAAATACAGGAGGCCAGCCACCTGGTACAGGCATCTTTCAAATAATATAACAATAAGTGTAGCGCTCTGGTGAAAACTAACTAAATCTCAACATATATACAATGTGACATAATAGTGAAACAAACAGTGAATCCTTAATGAAAATATATGAAAAAAACAGTGCAACATCACACAATATTGTGCATATGGTGGAAATGACTGATATAAAGCCCCCTACTACAGGGGATATACCTAATACAAGTAGTGCTCAGTGTCAACACACTCTATTCATACCATAAATAAACCGCTGAAATAAAAAAATATATATATATATGCAGAAAGTGAATAAACATGAACACATCACTTAAAGTTGTATCTTATATAACAAAACGTGCCACCAGTGTCCACAACAATAAATGTAATCATGCAGGTGAATCTCGTGAGTTTGTAGGCTCTGTTGATGACTCCACACGCAGCTAGATTGGCTCCTCACCTCCTTGCTGCGACCCTAAAAAGGCCTTAATGCCTTATGGATCACTCCTGGATCCTCTTTGGATTAAAGGACTATCCTAAATGGCTCTTATCCAGAAACATCAGCTCCCACGTGGTCCACAAAGAGAAAAGCCTCCATAGTGTATTATCATTTATTAGCACAGTAATAAAAAATAACATGCACAGGACACTCGTATGGTACATCTTCTTGTACACAGCATTTAGAACCTCATGTATGGGTGTACCTGCATGGGTTCTTTAGGGAGTCCAAAGATGGCGTCCGTGCCAGAAATGTCACCTACGTGTTGCGTCACTGTTCACGACTTCCAACACGTAGGTGAAGTCATTTCCGGCGCGGACGCCATCTTTGGACTCCCTAAAGAACCCATGCAAGTACACCCATACATGAGGTTCTAAATTCTGTGTACAAGAAGATGTACCATGCGAGTGTCCTGTGCATATTTTTTTATTACTCTGCTAATAAATGATAATACACTATGGAGGCTTTTCTCTTTGTGGACCACGTGGGAGCTGATGTTTCTGGATAAGAGCCATTTAGGATAGTCCTAGAGGATACGCTTTAGTCCAAAGGGGATCCAGGAGTGATCCATAAGCCATTAAGGCCCTTTTAGGGTTGCAGCAAGGAGGGGAGGAGCCAATCTAGCTGCGTGTGGAGTCATCAACAGAGCCTACAAACTCACGAGATTAACCTGCATGATTACATTTATTGTTGTGGACACTGGTGGCACGTTTTGTTATATAAGATACAACTTTATGTGATGTGTTCATGTTTATTCACTTGCTGCATATATATATATATATATATATATATATATATATATATATTTTTTTTTTTATTATTATTTTTAGCGGTTTATTTATGGTATGAATAGAGTGTGTTGACACTGAGCACTTGTTGTATTGGGTATATCCCCTGTAGTAGGGGGCTTTATATCAGTCATTTCCACCATATGCACAATATTGTGTGATGTTGCACTGTTTTTTTCATATATTTTCATTAAGGATTCACGGTTTGTTTCACTATTATGTCACACTGTATATATGTTGAGATTTAGTTAGTTTTCACCAGAGCGCTACACTTATTGTTATATTTTGGTATTTCACTTTAGGTTTTTCCCGATCTTTCAAATAATGCTTAGCATTTTCTGAATGCATGCAAAAGCATTCTCTGATTGGACAATGTGGAGAGCCTGACTTCACCACCTTGCCACTCCACCTCACCCAGAGAATGCTTTGAATTAAGAAAATGCAAAACATTCTCTGAATGATACCTGTGCTGAGCAGCCGACTTCCTTTGTTCACAAAGCTGCTCAGCAGGGGACCCAGAACCAAGAGATCACTGGACTAGCAGTATTTATTTCAGTGATTTCTAACTTCCAGGTTCATAGGCCAGGCATTGTTTTGCATACATACACTGGTCCAGCCTGGAGCAATGTAACTATGTAAAAATACTGTATACCATGCCTGGAATTCTTTAAAAATCAGCACATCAAAATCAATAGATCAAGAGATAGAGCAAAGCCAAAGTTATTAGAAAATCTTGACTTCTTACAAAAGTCAAGCATAGCCCCTCCCCCTACAAAGGCTCAAGAAGTAAAAGTTGGTAGCATCAAGCTTCCAATTATTTGCACATGTAATGTTCGATGACAATGTTTGATTATGTATTTTTTTTGCAGTAAATATTTTGCTTAAATTGACCAGGATTGTAACAGGTTTACTTTCCGGATGCATCTACTTGCGGATTACCCGTAGGGTTAGGTAACAGTCAGTGTAATATAATAGATATACAGATTCAGAGAATGAAGATTAAAGAAATTGTCTAAGGAAAACAAGGCAGCTGTTGCCTCGGTGGGTGGTCATTAGGAGTGCCCTTTTGGCTGCTTGTAGTGCAGGAGGATCCTCCTTATTCCGCTTCCTACTGACATTACTCAATGTAAAGGTAAGTGGGACAATTTTTGAAAAGGTGATAATGCTGGCATATCCTGTCTGAGTTTAGTTAGTGTAGCTGACCTTTAATTATCATGTAACCAAAGTACATGATAAGTGGGCAACAGTGCTGGGGGAATACCTAGAAGCCAGATTTCAGGAAGTGCCACCATGGCACTTTTACTGGTATATTGCACATCACAGAAAAGGGAAAGCCTTTAGACTAGGTTCACATATATGCGGCTGTGCGGGCCGCGTTTTGTGCGGGCACGAGAGCCCATTCATTTGAATGGACTTCCATGCCCCGTGACACACAGGGAAGAAGTCCCTGCACTTATTTGGAAACCGCAGCCCACATTGGAACCTCGGTTCCCAGTACAGTTGCGATTTCCAGTGCGGGCGGCATGCCATTAGAATTAATGCCACCCGCCTGCGGGTCCGCATTCTTCTGTGCGGCTGCACGGATTTTTGTGCAGATCCGCAGCGGCGGCACCAC